AAAATCAACACACAAAATTCACACACAACAAAGGTTTAAAATAATGTATATTGGTATAAACGTTTAATAAAAATGCATACATACGTAACCCATGGTCGGCATGGAATTTTGTCACTTGGCACAGTACTTTAATGTTTTTTAATGTTTGTCCCACATTAAAATATATTGAGTCAATGACAGTGCAACTGTTCATAAAACGTTCTAATCACATTTTACATGCACATTTGTATTCAGTAGTAATCTTTTCATAAAGGTACATCAAAGTCCCAAATCAAATTCTTCACTGACAGTATGTTATTGACTCCCAAACGACAAATATTATAAAACACGCTTCCAAGCTGAAAAGAAATATTTACTGTTGTCAGTCAGTGTTTAGACTCTTCTCTTTGAATCTTGATCTTCGACAAGTATTGCTGTTGATTATATTCCATATTTTTTTGAAGAACATCGCAGACTATATATTTATTTCCACTGTCAGTTGAAAAGTTTATCATCATAGTTTCAGTCGCAAAAGCTTCTATCGCCCCTTTGCACGGCCATGTTTGATAAAATCAAAGCGGCCCGCCCCCCGGTTTGAAAAGTTAAATATTCTGAAATATTCAAAATTTAAAGCATCACGTGACCAGCCTTTACCAGGGCCTTTGCTGCTTCGCCTCCTTCCTCAATAGGCCCTGGGGACGAGGTTGCGTTCTGGACATGGGGATAAAATGCGGAACGGAACAGATGGGGAGAAAATGCGTCATTTTAATGAGTTTTTCCGCCTCTTTTTTTACGTTTCTGTGTTTTCGATTCACTTTTTTTTTAATGGAATGCAACGTCGTTGTGCTTATTATTCATAACATATCTTATACAGCTATTTCAATGCCGACAACACATCAAGAAACGAAATACGCGTTGCCCACACAACGCAAAATTCCCATTGGTCGAAATTAAAGTTGTCACTGAGACAATAGTCAAATGTGCAATATGGGCGCTAAAAAGATGATGGGAATAGTCATAGTTTTAAACAAGTTTAGCATATCAGTAGCCTCGTGGGGATACTTTTAGTGACAGCTCCCAATGCAAATGAAGTTTTAGAAAATGCAAAATTTGGTTGTTAAATTGGTGAAACAATTTAAATTTCGAGTTGTTGCGTGTCGCATTACAATAAATAAATAAATTGTATCAGTTTTCTTTTGAACATTGAACATTGAACATTTATTTAAACACGGTAAAATCTTCAGTGTATAGGTACTATTTACAAAAAAATCTTACATGCATCTATTAGACTACTTTTAACACTAAATATTATATATAAAAAACACACTGATTTCCAAGATTGCCGTGTGGGAATCCCATTATGGTGGCGACAAAAATCGATTGATTTTATTTTTGAAATGCCTTAATGAATTAGCTGTACGTGCAGAATGGAGGAGCGTATTCCATAACCGTGTCCCACTGTAGCAAAAACTACGCTTCAAATAGTCCGTACGTGGTTTCGATCGGCATTTCAGCATTTCTTAAGTTATAGTTTGTGCGGCATTTCAGCATTTCTTAAGTTATAGTTTGTGCTGCGAAATGAAAACAAATTTTGCAGATACTCTCGCGTTAGCTTATTGATTGTTTTATACATCATAATAGCATAGTTGCCCGGGTTTCGTTTGTTTCAACAGGTACCATTACTAACTAATCGCCCGCTGTAGCGGGCGATTAGTTCTAATCGCCCGCTAGAGGGGGCGATTAGAACTAATCGCCCGTTACCAAGGGTCACACCTTTGTCTCCCTGACGACTACGCATTAGGCAAGTGCCTCACGCACATAATCGTACAAGGAACAGCAACAGTTAGCTCAGAGCCGTCAATAGTCTATCTCCGATCCCTGAGTTGCCGCATCATTTAAACACAGAATAGGAAGTTATACCAGAAGCGTAACTCTAGTCGTTTCCCTTATTGTTTGACGTCCACGAAAATTTTAACTCGCTCACGTCAGGCCACGCCATCCTGGCTAGTACAGCCGGAAGTTTTTATCAGGATTTGGTAGGTACAAAGTGCCGGTTGTACTAGCCAGGATGGCGTGATTGATGACGAATCGCTTGTAAAAACGCGGACAAATATTTGCTCGAGTTACGCTTCTGGTATAACTTCCTATTCTGTGATTTAAATTACGCACCTGCAGTCTCCAATTTTATACTAATATATTTAGCGTTTTTGTTGTGGTACGTTAAATGATAGATTGCGCATGCGTAACCGATTAAAGCGTAAAAAGTGCGCATGTGCAACAAGCTTTTACATCCCACAAGCAATGAAGCAAATGTTTTAGCTTAAGTACGCTGATTCCAAGTAGGGCATGTTTGTCCATTTTTAAATGGGAGCGCAACTATGCTATTACAAACTAATAGCATGGCTTTTCGGGGGATTAGTGATTAAATGGCCCCTAACCCTCGGCAGGTTTGCGGAATTCCCTCGGGCTTCGCCCTCGGGAATTCCGCAAACCTGCCTCGGGTTACGGGGCCATTTAATCACTAATCTCCCTCAAGCCATGCTATTACTTATAATAAATATTTATAATATAAATATTATAAATACTCGTTCATGGTATGCGCTTGCTAGATGTAGGTGTACAATTGCTCAAAATGTTTAGTTAGCAACGAATAATTTCATATCATACAGTAAGGGCCATCGTCAGACGAAGTGTGGATGCATGAGCTCGTCGAATTATTTCATGATTCTTTTCTTAATTTTTTCACAGCTGTTTGAGTTATTTATATATTGAATTTGGTTTTATGTTTAGAAGTCGACCTAAATAGATAACAAGTTGATTGTTAGTTGTTATTAGACAATTCCAAAATGTTCTGACTGACAGCGAAAGTTACTTATTTGCAATGAAAATATAAATTTTCCGTCTCGATCACCTCATGTTATTGTTTCGTGTGCACTAAAGCAAATTGGGAAGTTACTTTTGCCTAATGAAAAAAACTCGACTTCTGTTTTCAGGCTTAGAAAGGAAATTGACACTGTAATCGGTGAATCAGAAGAGATTAAAGCAAAAGATATTATGTCTATGCAATATCTTACGCAAGTGGTGAAAGAATCCCTGCGTCTACATCCACCAACACCTGCCCTAACAAGAAGAACTGATAAAGATACCTTGATCGGCAGCGTAATGATTCCCGGTGATACACCTATCATGGTGAACCCATATGCCATTCAGACCCACCCTGATTATTGGGAAGATCCGCATGATTTTAAACCGGAGAGATTTGCTTCTGTTGAAAACCTCCATCCATATGCATACTTTCCGTTTTCACTCGGTCCACGGCGCTGCATTGCACCTCAGCTGGCAGATTTGCAGGTGAAATTGGTTATTGCCCGTCTATTGAAAAAGTTCAAATTTAAATTGTTGCCAGGTCAAACCCTGAAGCTTGCTGAAAATATTTCGTTCGGTCCGGTTGGAACTGTTCGTTGCACACTAGCATTTGCTGATCAACACTAGACTAAACAGATGGCTAAAAATCTTCAAGTTTAATTGAAAAACGTTTATAAGTATGCTGGTTAGATGCTCATTCATCGATTGTACCAAGTTTTTCGTATTCACCAAGTTTTTGACATTACCTTACTATAGCTTTTCACGTGCTATTTAAAACATGAGCAGCAGACTGTTTTTTCAGATATGTTTTTCCAGATATTCATATATAAATCTTTAGGTCTGATAAAACACGCACTGCGAATGTTTTAAATTGCGCGCTTCAAAAACGATCGATCTAGTGAGTTCATTGGCGAAGTAATTTTCGAAAAATATCTTTTGTAAGTCGAGAAAATCAAAATTAAAGTTTATGTAAATCAAGGGAAATCTCTATCACATATAAAGATACGATACGCTTATGATTTTTCTTTGTGTTTTCCTCATGAATTATTAAGTTGGCCTCTTTTCTCCCTTCTTTTAGCAAGTCTTTCGGCTTTTTTTTTCTCAACAAGCTTTTGAAATTTACAAAATCTTGCAAAAATGAAATAATATTTACAAGAAATGTTTGTTATTTCGCTGTCGTTGTGCAGTCGTAAGTTGTAATGCAAATTTTAAATTTGACCAATCAGTGTTCGCTATTCATGACAATCCGCTATGTTTTGAGATCAGTGAGCATGACCACCCGCCATACCAAGCACGCACGGTAAACGGTGAACCATGCATAGCCATGCGCCCACGATTATTAACGAACATTAGACTTCGCTAAGGCTTTTCCTTTCCCCTGGGGATGAATAGCTGTGCGGGGTTAGTACCCGCGCTTACGCCCGGAACAGCGGGGTAATTTGCGGGGTAATTTGCATGCAGTAGTTTGTATAGGAAATTACACGGTTCGAGAAGTATTAATGAAAAATCGCACGCATTTTTGGCGAAATATTTATAATACAGCGAGTGCGTAGCACGAGCGGAATTATAAATATTTCGTCAAACACAAGTGTGATTTTTTCATTAATACTTCGAGAACAAGTGTAATTTCCTATTAAAATCATTTTACAGTCAATTTTACACGAGCAATCATTGTATTTGTATTCAGGCGAGCACAGCGATATACGCGCCTCTGCATGTGGTCAATTTTTGAGAGCACTTTCTGACATTAATTTTCAATTCATACCTGTAAAAACTATGAATAATCTTTATTTCTTCTTTTTTCTTCGTTATGAAAGCATAAATAAGAGCTCGTTGTAAAATAAGAGGTCAGAAAATGTACATTTTCAAGTTGTTTTATAATAACTTGTTTATTGTGTTGACATTTTGTGTTTAAAATAAATACACGCATGATCCACGCGGGCTCGTATCCGTGCCGACAGGGCGCTGTAAAACACGGGCGGTGAAACGGCTATGGCGCCCCTGATCTATGTGTGATGCAGGTCCACCCGCATATTTTCATTTTTATTCGAATTCGATGTGGTTTGATCAGGCATGCATGTTTGTTTTGACTTCTTTTTAAAATTAGTTCGTAAAAAGGTACAATTCAAGCTGAATTCACAATGGATTTGGGATCTGTGCTATTACTATAGACAAAATCTTTTTTCCGGATTCTTAATCACGGCTGATTATATGGGGAATGTTGTAGTGTGATATAAGTCTGGGATCTCACTCACGAGGATCGATTTTTTTTGCAAAACAACTTCGTTCGTTTAAAAGATGAAAAAAAAGACGAAGAAAAAGTTTTTTAAACGGCTGTTGTTGTAAAACCTGCAACTGGAATGTGTGTTTGGAAATCAGGTATGTTCAATCACATGTATTTTTGTCAAGTTCCACCAGATGAAGCGCCATAAATTGATAAAAACAGCGAGTTCTTTTTTTCAAGCGATAGTTTGTTGTCGCAGTTTTACAAGCGCGGAAAATTTTTAACTTTTAAATATTTCATGCACAATATATGAAAACTAGTTTTATTTTGATGTTTTTGTGTAATTTAAGTACCTAGTTTTCTGAAAATCACCAAATGAGAATGGGCTTTTTTAATTTTTAAACATTTTTTTGGCCTTGTTTTTGACATGTGCATGCCAAATCTACACATGAAATACAAGCAAGCGATAGTTTGTTGTCGCAGTTCTACAAGCGCGGAAAATTTTTAACTTTTAAATATTTCATGCACAATATATGAAAACTAGTTTTATTTTGATGTTTTTGTATAATTTAAGTACCTAGTTTTCTGAAAATCACCAAATGAGAATGGGCTTTTTTAATTTTTAAACATTTTTTTGGCCTTGTTTTTGACATGTGCATGCCAAATCTACACATGAAATACAAGCAAGCGATAGTTTGTTGTCGCAATTTTACAAGCGCGGAAAATTTTTAACTTTTAAATATTTCATGCACAATATATGAAACTTATTTTTATTTTGATGTTTTTGGATAATTTAAGTACGTAATTTCCTGAAAATCATCAAATGAGAATGGGCTTTTTTAATTTTTAAACATTTTTTTGCCCTTATTTTTGACATGTGCATGCCAAATCTACACA